GCCCTGACGAACAAATAGGCAATACTCGGTGATTTTTTTTATTTACGGGGCTTTTACTACCAGGGGGCTCTTTGCCAACCCTGCGCTCCTCTCGTGCCAAAGCTCTGGCTGCGCGCCTGTACTGAAGTATAGAAGCCCATCGGTTTGGGGTCCCTTGTTATGTGTTTGCTCCCCCCTAACCCATCTCAAGTTCGGATACGCCGCCCCAGCGGCTGGCACCGTCGTCGCGCACCCCATGACCCCAGCGGCGCTGCGACACGGCTCAGAGAGCGGGCCAAGCGCGAGGTAAAGCCAACGACCGGGGGGGGGGGGGGGGGGGGGGGGGGGGGGGGGGGGGCACGGTTAGTCACGGTCATGCACGACTGATGGCCATCGGCATCAGATATACACTGAGAAACTATATTATTTACGTCAGATAAACTATTCATGCATGTGCGCATAGCAGGATACACTGTTTGGCATGTGTCAAGTGGCCAAGTTCGTGAACCCGAAAGGGTCCTGCGCACCCACACACCCACTGCGCAGTTACATCCATATATAGCCGCTTCAAGTTCATAAGCACCCAATTTTGCGACGCACGTCTCCATGGAGTGTGCACGTCGCGTGACGGAGTGTCCAATTTTACATACGGTGGGCACCTGCTGTCGCTGTCTTATGTACGACAGACCTCTGCTAAGCAAAGCTGCTCCACAGCGAACGTTCTCCAGTTTCACTCCACAAATTCTTTCGTGGAGCTAACGGACCGCCCCAGATGTCAACCCATCCCCCCTTCAACTAAAAAGTACGGGCTACAAATTTTACTCCAATATGGCAGCAACGAACATAAGTGGCCGCGGAACATAACGAGCAGGTGTTCCATGAATAAACACGTGGCAAATCATCTGACAGAGACCCTCATGAGCCATTAATACATACCGTGCATCGCTGTAAGTCCGGAGGATCAAACGTAGATGAAAACCAACATGCAAGATATCTTACAGCCGTCCACACGCTCAAAACCCATAAATCCACTGCCTCACTACACCGTCGCGTTTACTGACCACGATTACTCACGGGTTGTAAACAAACGAACATTGCTAGGTGATTGTTCTCTTATTAAGTGATGAAGTAAACATGACGGACCACGTATACGGTGATATATAGCTTGTTTAGTTAATTTTATTGCTAATTAATCTTGAATGGCAACTACAGCGTAATATTGCGCTTAACACATGTCACAAGGGCGTAAGAAATGCAGATTCTACTAGATGTACTAGCAACAATCTGTTCTACCAGTTTCTACCGCTTTCCGATGTTTGACAACTGCTTGACGTGATGTTACAGTTCTGCCATCTCTCGTTTAAAGCTGTAACGATAGTTTTACCTATTATGCAGATGCCGCTACTTCATAACGCGCGCCAAGGGACGTATTTCGCGGCAACAGCGGCGCTGGTGTGGCTTCTGCGGGGTTTCGGAAGAAAAGCCAGATTTCCAGTCTTCTCTGTTGACACAGCGCCATAGGGATAAGGCACTTTTTAAGCTAGGACGAGGAGCGTATGTTTCTTCTGCCCCATATTGCGCAGCCTTTGAGACGTCACTGCTCCTTACTCTCCACTGTCCGGGTTGCCGCGGTCAGCGGTAAATGCAGAAAGAGGTTGGAGGCCGTGTCCTCCTCGGTACCCGTAGGTTTGAAAAAAATCTGCCGCTTGGCTAAATTTCCTGTGCTAGCCTGGTCGCTCCACACTTGACATTTGGCAGAAAAACAGTGATCCCAAATAATATCTGCCCCCAAAAAGTGAACGCCTTCGCTCCGGCATCATCAGGCCGGCCGACCGCAGTCGCTATGCGCCGTCTATACGTGATATGAACGCAACATGTCATGTCGCCCGCTGGGTGATGTACTTTGTCAGCCGGCAGTCCTCCCGCAATGACGTCACGTGCACTATGCTGCGACCGTCGCGCACGGCCAGGACTATTGTAAGACGGACGCCGCAACACTGCAAATCGCCCGCAGCGGTTGGGCCACCAACGTTGAACGAGACGCTGTCCGGTGGTGCATCAAAGAAAAGGATGTCCTGGTCAGACATATGAGTTGTACTGGGGGCCGATAGTCCCAAAATAGCATTATCGACTGGACACGGTCACATACTTCTCGCGCGATAGCTATTTTCCCGGGTCGCTGCGGAATGGTTATTACGATACGGGCTTGCCGGTCGTAACCACCAATGCACCGTGGAGGGGCGACTTGAACAAAAAGGTCAGATTGGCCGATGAACAATTTACATTGCTTGCCGATAGTGCTTCTGCAGCGACGTCGTTTGCATATGGTCGCCTCCACCGTCCGCGACTCAAAGCATAATAAATTGGGCCATAACTTCGCGAGTTGCCGCGGTGACCAGCCCGCCAGCGGTGAGACGCTGTATAAAGCTTGACCAAATGCAATGGATGCCTTGATCGGGCAAATGTGTTGCACTGACAGTCGATTAACAAATATCAGCGCCAACAAATGCACACAGTCACACTTCTCGCGTGCAAATGCCTGTATATTCTACGCGCGTAGATTCAAAAGCACGACTTGCACTTCTTTCTTGCACGTGTTCATTAGCTCCGCCCGTGTTCGCCGAGTTCGTTGCTGTGCGAGCCGAGGTTTTCTGTTAGTGTGCCCGACAGACCCGGCGTTGGGCACGGCGCATCAGATGTCTCCCTCTCCCTCCCTCCCTCCCTCCCTCCCTCCCCATTCTCTCTTTCTCTCTCTCTCTCTCCTCTCCTCTCTCTCTCTCTCCACTCTCTCTCTCTCTCCCCTCTCCCTCTCCTCTTCATCTCCCTCTCTCTTCTCTCTCTTCCTCTCCTCTCTCTCTCTCTCTCCCATCTCTCTCTCCATCTCTCTCTCTCTCTCTCTCTTCCTCTCTCTCTCCTCTCTCTCTCCTCTCTCCTCGCACTCTCCTCCTCTCTCGTCCTCTCCCTCTCTCTCTCCCTCTCTCCTCCCTCTCTCTCTCCTCCTCTCATCGCTCTCCTCTCCATCTCGCTCCTCTCTCCCTCTCCTCTCCTCCCCCCTCCGTCTCGCTCTCCTCGTCCTCTCTCTCATCTCTCTCTCGCTCCCCTCCTCTCTCTCTGCTCTCCTCCTCTCTTCCTCTCTCTCTCTCTCTCTCTCTCTCTCTCTCTCTCTCTCTCCCCGCGGGTAACGGCTGGAGCTGGTTGGGAACGGTATCTTGTCCCATATGTACACCTTTACAAGCTCGAGCGAACAGTTCAAAAGTTTGTAGGACAGGTCACTGCTCTTTCTCGTCCAAGAAGTTGCCTTGCATTGTGGTACAACCAGATGACGACACCAGCGGCGAGTCCATCCCTCCGGCTCTTTTCCCTGCTCGGGTCTCCCTGATCATCCGCTGGCCGATTTTGTTGAACGTCATGGGTCAATCTCATAAATGGGCTGATGGCGCTGGCTCTGGAGTCACAGTGTCATGGCTGTTGCGGTGCATGTTGCTAGCTTTGCCAAATTACGTCTCATGGCTACCGCCGTATTTTTCGCACGGTGTATGGTATGAGAGGTGTTAAGTACAAATCTCGTTGTTTTCAGTGAACTCAGCATGGACACTGAAAACGTCCAGCGTATCCACGAACACAACGCACCTCGAGGTGCATTAGAGGGGGGGGGGGGGGGGTTGGAGGCAAGGTGCATCGAGGTGATTCTGCTCTCTGCAATCCGCATTTATCATAATGCCTGTGTTTTGAGTTAGTGCTGGACCCACTCTACAAGTCAAACTCGAAAATGAAAGGTGAATGCGGGGTTTGAGAGCGTGAGAAAAGTGGATGGAAGTTAGTGTCGTGCCATCGAGGATTTACGGCGCACTCAGCTGCTGAGGCCATATGGCGTCGCTCGCCTCTCACTTTGGCAGGAATGGCAGGCACGACGCAAAGCTGACACGCATGTTTTGTACAGTCGCTATCCATAAAAAATTGAGTGTTTACTTGAGCGGACGGTAAACCACATGGTGCAAACTATCGGCAAAGTGCGTTTGGTCCAAAAGCCTGCGGACGGAAAAAAAGTTTTGTGTGCTTGGAAAACATTTAGCATCGCATGTCACTTATTTTGGCTTCGAACGAAATAGCAGTATCAGCAACATAATTTGCGCCTAATGCAACCGTACCTTATTCTTCAAGGTCGAGAAAGCAACTACACTTGCTAGAGATTTCCTGCATACGTGGCCATGCTCAATCAATGCATAGACCTTTGTAAATAGCCATCGAAGGTGACACTCCATCCTCAGAGCGTCTCCGCTCTTTGGGCATCCGCAGTTCATGCTGTAGTTAAAAATAGGGACCTGAGGGGCTCACAAACGCCACGGCGCCAACTCTGGAATCATGTTAACGCCGGACCCCCAAGCCCCTGCTTCCCTCCTTTTTTCTTGTTTCTTTAAATTCGCAACGAAAAGAAGTTTGGCTTTTTTGTTTATTTCCATTGAGTCGTTAGACAGAAATGATCTTTTACATGGTTATTTACACACATTCCACGTTCACACTTGGTTTGAAGTATATAGATACACTAAGGCAGCTGACCGAGAATCGTACGCACACCCCATGGGAGAATAACTGCCCCTGGGAGGGCGACCACCCGACCCAGCCAGTTATTCGCGCCATCTCGCGTTCACATCGCTAAACATTATTGTCGGAAAACGCCGCCGCACGGGCGGGCACAGAAGCCTGCCCCTCCAGCCCGCTGCACATCAGCGGTGTCCACGAGGAAACTGGGGCACCCGGGGCGGCTCGAAGCACGGTCGGGTGACGACACGCAGGAATGCAGTGCGTGCCGCCGACAGTTGTCGCTGGGGCCGCTGGCAGCCGAGGACGCCCCGCGCCAACGGCAGGTGACAGCCACACGCTCGCCGCAGCTCTATCACACTCAGTGGCGGCCGCCGATGGCTGGCCACGCGCGCCGCAATACCCGCACTCAGCACATTGCACTTGCCACGATAACAAAGAAAACAGAGCAGAGCGCGCGCACGGCGTCGCGCCAGGAATGGCTAAGCTGTGTGCGCCTGGGGACCGGGACCGGGGCCGGGCGGCAGCGGCGCGGCAACAGGCGTGCGCCGGCCAGGGGGGGGGGGGGGGGAGGCAAAAGCTGCTGAGCCATGCATAGTGGAATGATCAACGATTTATGTACACGCGCCGGTATCACAGACTGAAAAATCAAAGCCGGGCTATCGGTACGTCCCCGGGTACAGCTAACTGGATCTAGCGGAAACCGTACTCTATACCAACACACGACCCCACACAGAGGGCGCAGCCCCGCACGCCAGCCGGGCGTGGGTGAGCAGCCGAGCCCTGCCCGGCGGCGCCCCTCTCGCCCGCGGTCCGACGCCGCAACGAGCCGTGCCGGGCGGCCGCCGCCCGCCCCGCCGCAGCCCAGCCAGGCCAGGAGCAGGGACACGTCGCGCCGCGCCGCGCCCCGCCCCTATTGGAATGCAAAGAAAATGGCGCGCCAGCTCCCGCCCGCCCGGCCACCTCGTCACGCAGTAAAACGCGTGCTTATTATGCGCACACCGGCCGCGTCGGCACGCCCGCCAGCGGACGCGGCCGGCCCGGCGCGCGCCGCTCAGTTGGTGATGAGTAGGTGCTGATCCTGATGCGCCGCTGAACCCGCCTCGCCGTCCACCTCCACCTCCATGTCCACGTCCAGGCCGTCGAGGCCCCAGCGGACCGGCCAGAGCGGAGGCCGGCCGGTGCCGCGCACGATGCTGGGCCGCTGCGGTCGCGCCGGCGGCGCCACCACCTGGTAGAGCGGCGCGACCGGCGCCGGCGCCGGGCCCTCCACCACCGGCGCGCCGCTCTCGTCCGTCACGCTGATGGCCGGCGCGACGCTGGGCTCGGGCGTGTGCGTGCCGCTCGTGATGGACATGCGCTGCTGCGCGGCCGACGGCGACACCAGCGGCATGCCCAGCAGGTGCGTCTCCGAGTCCTCCTGGATGCGGCTGAGATTGAGCGGGCTGCCGGCGCGGTGCAGGTGGTGCAGGCTCTGCTCCAGCACCAGCTGGTCCAGCGTGGCGGCGGCCGACGTGCCGGACGTGATACTGCCGCCGGCCGACGAGGCGGGCGCCGAGACGAGGCGCGGCGGCAGCGAGACCGGCGAGCTGGGGCAGCTGTGGCGCTGGTGCAGCGGTGCCTGCAACCGTCCGGCGTCAGTCCCTGGCACAGCGGCGAATACGGCGGCACGGACAGGGGCGAACATACCGGCACAGACGAGGGCGAACACAAGAGAACGGACATCCGCAGACGCATGAGCACAACAGACAGGGCGGATAAAGGGGCAGAGACAGCGGCTAAAACAGGTACAGACAGAGGCGAACGTGGGGCACGGACAGGGGAGGACACAGCGGCATGGAGGGCAGTGAACACCGGAGCACAAACAGGGGCAAAGTTAGCGGGGAATAAAGGGGCGCGGACAGTGGCGGACGCATGGGGCAAATGTAGTGCCCCATGCGTCTGTGCCGACGGACCAGGCACAGACAGGGTGAACACAGGGAAAACAGGAGCGAACAAAAGGGTGTAGGCAGGGGAGAACACTAGGAGAAAAGGCATGGGCGAACACAGCGGCACAGACGAGGGGCAAGGACAAGGAGCACGAACACGGAAGACGACGACCGAGGCACATACGCATTAAAATACCAGGTTGCCCGAGGCGGAGACAACAGACACTGACAATAACGGTGGGTGTGGACACGGGGTGTGAACAGGCGTGCACGCAGGGACACTGCCAGACGCGGACAAAGGACACTGGCAGGGACAGACGCAGCCAGCTGTTCAGGCCAGGACAAAGGTGGATACATCGGACGACGAGCTGAACGGCCACAGGAAACACACACATACACTACCGGACGGACGGCGGGGGTCGCTGTCATCGGCCCGCACGGGAAGCTCTGACGAAACGGTGGACCACAACATTGGCATGCACTCACACAAGTCGATAGTGGCGCATCAGATGCTGACGGAGTCCCAGTGACAACTGCAACTCACGCGTGCACACACTGAATAGAATGTTGATGACTCATGATGCCGGGGACGCCGGCAGCGGTTCTGTCGCGCCGACCACCGACAGCGCCAGGACGGCCGGCTAACACGGCCGTCGCCGCTGGCCACCATCAGCAGCCAGCGGCAGGAGCGGCCGACGGTGGTCGGCCGTTCCACCCCCCCCCCCCCCCCCCCGCTCGCCAGCGCCGGCGTCAGTGTGCGGGCCGTGCCGGCAGTGGCGGCGGCACGGTCAGCTCACCTGGCCGCGGCCAAACGTCTGCAGGGACACGTCGCCCTGCAGGCGCAGCGTCTCCATGTTGCGCAGCAGCAGCTGGTCGCTCTGACTGCCGGCGTGGGGCAGCGACGAGCCTGCCGGTGTCGGCGGCCGCGGTCACCGCCGAGCGGAGCGGCCAGGGCGCCGGCCGATCCGGCTGATCCGGCCGGGGCACGCCCGAGCCACCGCTGACCCTAGGCCGAACCAGGACGGGGCACGCCCGAGCCACCGCTGACCCGAGGCCGACCCAGGCCGGGGCACGCACGAGCCACCGCTGACCCGAGGCCAACCCGGCCGGGGCACGCACGAACTACTGCTGACCCGAGGCCGACCCGGCCGGGGCACGCACGAGCCACCGCTGACCTGAGGCCGACCCGGCCGGGGCACGCACGAGCCACCACTGGCCCGAGGCCGATCCAGCCGGGGCACGCACGAGTCACCGCTGACCCGAGGCCGACCAGGCCGGGACACGCACGAGTGCCACCGCTGACCCAAGGCCGACCGGCAGCCAAGCGGGTTTGGCTGCCGGTTTGGAGGGAACAGACGGCCACGACTAACACGAAGCGGACAGGTAAGGGACTGGACAGGGAGAGATAAGGCGTGGCACTGGGCCAAGGGGGACGTATGAACACTGGCCGAGGGGAGGGTCCATCACCACAGCCTAAAGTCCGGTCGGTTTGCAACGGCTGTACCTTTACTGACATTGTACAACGACGCCAGTTATTGGCATCACTCACCAAAGCGGGCTTACTCACAAGGTTAGCAGTCGATCCGGGTGCCCTTTTACTGAACTTGCTCACGTGATGAAGAGAAAGCGTCGAATTCTGCGGACGCGCACACACGCGACACGACAGACCATTGGGATGTTAGACCAGATACAGAGTGTTCAGTAGCAGACGAGGAGGGGGGAAGGGGGGGGGGGCGCTGCGATCGCCGGCTTCTCGCCTGCCGCTACGCACCCGGTCCACCCAGCTGACCACCCTCCAGCTGCCGCTTCTTGATGTGGAGACTGTGCTGCATCTGCAGCTCGTGCAGCGTGGTGCTGTCCACCGAGCGGCTGTGGTGCTGCCGACGGACCAGGCCCCGCCCGTCAGCCCGGCCGCGCCGGCGCACAGCGCGTCATCACGCGCCAGGTCGCCAACAGCAGCGCAGTATGAGCCGCGCGAACCCACTATCGCGGCGACATGACCCAATCTCGGGATGGCGAGGCCGCTGACCCCAGGAGAACCGGGGCTACTGGCCCCAGACGGCCATCATGCTCAACACACGATGCCAGAGGTGTCATCCGACGGGCTCGCACAGCTGATGCAGATCCAGTTCCCCGAACGCCGGCGGCGACGGTGGCGTCTTGCGAGGACACGTCTGGACCTCGTGCCGGGCGTCACGCCGTCGCACGGAAGCGCGCCGCCTCCGGCGACCGTGCTGCCAGGCGGCGCCTCACCTTGAGGTGCTGCTGCAGCTCCAGCACGGCGTCCTGGCCGAGCACGTTGGACTCGCTGACGCGGCGCGTGTAGCGGTCGGCCGGGATCCGCAGCGAGTTGGGATGGTGGCCGCCTGCGGCCGCGCGGAAGGCGCGTTACTGGGAGCCGACGGTGCCGGAACAGGCGGCGCTCGAGCCCGGCCCCAGTCACGGCCCAATGACCAGTGCCTGGTGCGGCATTACGGAGATCTTGCCACTTTGGCAGGTGTGACATGACAATCTGACCTATATGATTCGCGTTGCTCACTCGGTGCATGACAACCTTTGTTAGCCACGCTCGAATGATAATCGCAAACACTTGGGTTGATCTGGTGCGACAATTGCAGACAAGCACTGTCGACCTAAGGGCGTCTGAGAAAGGGGTAATGAGAAACAGCATGTTAATCAAATACTAGGACGTTATCTGCACGCAAGGATAGTTGGGTGAGAACAACACAAATGGCATGCGGAGCAAATAACTGTTAAACAAGGAGCAAAAAAATAAGCGTAAGCAAAATAACAACTGGCTACCATATGAAGTGCGTCGACACCGATCATGCGAACAAGGCACTGAACTCACACACCAAGTTGCTTCGCACGGCGATGCGGAAAATACTGAGCTTACAAACCGTCCTCCTTCTGAACAGGGCCAGCATGAAGGCAGCATGAAACGTGAGTCGAACCGAACACTCTGACTCGGGCGTCACCACACATCGAAACAACGCCGGACCCACGAACGGCGCAGGGCCATCTCACACGGCGGACAGTCTGCGCACCCCGCTGACAAAGCCGCGGGCACCATCAGCTGAGCTCTCTACCATCCCGCCCGATGACCGCTAGAGCAGCTCCAAATTCAAAGTGCGAGGCGTAAAACCGTTTTCAAAAACAGCTACGCATCTTGAGCAAAACGCTTGTTAAGCAGCACGTTAAACGCTCCATCTCAGTCAATGCTGCCGCCGACTTGACCCAACGAGCAATGCGAGCCACCAAACGGCTCGCCAACCGACCAGCTGACCCCGCATCCACGCTCCCCCCTCTCCCCCTCCCCGCGCGTCTGCACGCTCATCGCCTCCACACTTACCGTCGGCGTCGGCGGCCGGCTCGGCCATGGTCGAGTTCTCCAGCACGGGCGCCAGGTGGACGTTGATGAGACCGGTGCGCCTCATGCGGTTGCGGTTCTCGCTGATTGGCTGGATGCGCATCTGGGTGTCGCGCAGGAAGGCCGAGCTGGCGCCGGCTGCGGCCGCCCCACCGACCGTGATCCACCGGGCGCTGACATACGCACGCACGCACGCACACACGCACACGGACAGACAGGCAGGCAGGCAGAACGGCGGAGGGCGCCCGGGCGGGCGGCGCCCACTACGGCCAACACGCGTGCCAACGTAATAAAACGGGCGCAGAACCAAACGGAAGGAGCACATGGGCCAGTACGGGGCGGATGCAGCCGGCCGGCCGGCGCGGCGCGGCCGGGGCCACAGGTCAGCATGCGGCGGCCCGCGGCACCGACCTGACGGCGAGTCCGACAGCTTGAGGCTGGTGCGCCGCGACTTGGCGCTGCCCGAGCTGCCGGTGCTGACGCGGCGGCCGCCCAGCAGCGCGCCGTCCTCACTGAGCGGACTCTCGTCCAGCCGCTGCTCCTCCGTGTACCTGGCGGCGGCGCACACGTCCAGCGCGGGCCGAGCGACCCAGCCGAGAGGCGCGAGCAAGGGGCGCTGCTTTGGGCGACGATGGCGATCACGCGGACACGGTGTGCCAGATTGGGACGCGGCCGAACTCTTCGAATTCCCAACTTTTCCGCTAGTTCATCGGACCCAACTAGTATTTTGTTCTGATTCACCTATTCCCGCCAGAGAAGCCAAGTGTTCTTGGACGCACTCTACATTGCAGCGCAGTACCGTTCATAAAGCCCGATTTCAGCTGACAAGACACACATCGGATCGACCGTCGTACAACACTAGCGCAGTGCCCAATGCGCGCTCGTGCCATATCTTAACGCTCTTTCCGTGCACACTCCATACCAAAATAACCCTGTGAGCCGTTGAACTATGAATTATTGAGCATCGGCACAACACCAGTGTGGCGCCGGCCGTGGTGCTCGGCCGCCGTGGGGCCCCGAGTGGCGGCACCAGCGCTCACCTGGCCGCCTCGGTGGGGTCCATGTCGGCGTCGGGGCGGCCGGCGCCGGCCGCGTCCGCCGGCAGCAGGCACAGATGCTCCTGACTGCTGGGCTGGGTGCCGACGCCGCCGCCGCCCTGCTGCCGGTACGCCAGCTGCAGGTTGGCGCCGCCGTCCGACGCGCGCCGCCCGAAACCGCCGACTGCAACGGACGGCGGCGTGAGCGGCGCGGCGACGGCGCGGTACGCGGAAGGGGACCGCGCGCCGCGCACGAACGCGCGGCTCGAAGCAGTCACACTGGTGCCGGGTCCCTCGTCCGCCTCCCACGCCCCCGCACCACCCAGGATGAGGTAAGTGATACGGCTGGCTTCAATCAGCGACTCCGGTGAATTCCGTAGTGCGTTGGACGTGCAGCCCGACCTGACGAGGCTGCCGAGTCCCTCCAGCCCCGTACAATCCCTGGAGGCGGCGGCGGCAGCGGAACGTACAGGCACCAAGTACGGTGGGCGGCTTCAGCAAGTGCTGGTCCTTGATGGAGAAGCGCTGCGGAGGCTGGTGCTGCACCAGCGGCAGGTTCTGCGCCAGGTTCGTCTGCGGCAGCACCGGGAACAGGCCGGCCGTGACCGGGCCGTAGCCCCAGCCGTGCGGAACGCCGAACGGTACCTGGAACACCGGCCCACGGCGTCAGGTCACGACAGCGGGTCACGGCGTCACGTTACGGCAGCAGGCCGCGGCGTCACAACAGCGAGTCACGGCGTCACAACAGCGGGTCACGGCGTCACAACAGCTGGTCACGGCGTCATAAAAGCGGACCACGGAGTCACGACAGCGGACCACGGAATCACGACAGCGGGTCCGGTGTCAGAGCTGGCGATCGTAGTTACCATGCCAACAGTGCCAGTTTAGCCCCAGTCTCGTCACTGAAGAACAGTGTGAATGTCTACATAGCACGTATTGACCAGCGGCGCTGACCAATGCAGTAAAAATAAGTCTACGTCGCACTTTCGCAGCCAGAACCGCTCTATATCGCCTGCTTTTGAGACGGAAATGGGCTATGGTCGGCATGCGCTTCCAAATGTGACCTGGAGTCATGAATGGTACCTCTTCCCCTCCCTCTACTGATCTGGACCTGGTTGTGTGATACCTATCCTACATTCTCACCCGGCACTGACCTGCGACTGGCTGTGTGCAGCACCTCCCCACCCCTGCACCGACCTGGACCTGGCTGTGTGCGGCACCTCTTCCCCCGCACACACACTGACCTGGACCTGGCTGTGTGCAGCATCTCCCCACCCCTGCACCGACCTGGATCTTGCTGTGTGTAACACCTTCCCCCTCCCCTTGCGCTGACCTGGACCTGGGTGTGCGCCGTATCGCCGGGGCCGACCGTGTGCCGGCGGGAGCAGTGATACTGGTCCCGACTGCTGGCCGTCTCCTCCAGGTCCAGCTCCAGGTGCCGCTCGGCGTCCTCGAACTGTCCGCCGAGGTTACCGACGGTCAGCACTGCCAGCACATTCAGCGACGCAGAACGACGGCAACACTGCATGGCGAAAGGCAGCAAGGTAAAACAGCCAACGAGAAATACAGTAACCGAGGGCCGGGCACAAACGCACTGACGGCAGCTCCGAAGACGAGCTGGCAATCCGATCGGCGGTAACCGACGGCGGCCTGCAGGCGGCCCAGGGGCAGGCGCGCCGCCGGCGCCTCACCTTGTCAGCCTCGTCGTTCCAGATTGAGGTGAAGACGAGCGGCAGCGCGGGCGCGGGCGCGGCCGGCGGCAGCGGCACCGACGCCGCCGCCTGGTCGCACAGCAGGTGGTAGCAGGCCGCCAGGTCGTCGTACAGGTTTGACTGCACCGACTGGAGTAGACCGGGTGGAAAAGGTCAGCGAGCCGCGGTCAGCTCACCGCGCCGAACAGGAGGGCCCCCATCAGCTGCGGCTGCACCCGCAGCGCACGGCGGTGAAACGCAAACACGCGCAGCGATTACGAATGAGATCACCACATTCGCGTTTATCGGCTTTCGGGAATAATCATCTCAGACACGAGTTACTCCTTACCAGATGAAACTAATAGGACAACGGGACACGGAGACACATCCCCCCTCCCCCCCACACACACGACTGACCTCACACGCGACTGCGACACATGACCCGTGGTCCAGGCCCAGTGCTCAAACTGGAGCAAGTGACCAGACTCCGCTCCAGTCCAGTGCAGTGCTCACGCCACCGACCTGGGCCACCTGCTGTGGCGTGACCCCGGGCAGCTGGGCGATCAGCTCCAGCACGCTCTGCTGCACGGGCGGCGGCTGGTCGAGGTCGGGCCGCTCGCAGAAGGCGACCACGCGCTCCGCTTCGTCAGCTGCCAGGTCCTGCGTCACCCAGCGGCAGCGCAGCACCTGCGGGATGCTGTAGCGCTTCTCCGGGTCCACCATCATCATGTGCCGGATGAGGCTCTCACAGTCTGCCGGCCACGGAAGGGTCACAGTCAAGGTCACGGCAGGAATGGTGACAGGGCGGGGGTCAGCCGCAGCATCCGCAGCAAATAGCGGGGAGAAGCCATGTGACGCAGCCGGTCACCCCACGGTAGTTGGGGCGTGTTGGACGTGTTGCCCGGGCACTAATAGAGCTCTCATCGTAACCGAACAGTCCATGTTATACAGCGATTCGATCTTAGCAACTTACAGGAGAGAGGAGCTGATTTACGGGTTCATGTGAAAAATATTGTTCTTTGCAGAACTGATGAGAAATTATATCTTGTTCATTGCGGACAAAACATTTGCCAGACAAACAGCAGCGACACGGCCAGCCGGGGCGTGCTTACCTGTGCTCATGAAGTAAGGAATGCGAAATTTTCCCGACAGGATTTTCGCGCGCAGATTTTGCAGCGTGTTGCCATCGAAGGGCAGGGCACCACACACCAGCACGTACAGCACTACGCCCAGGCTCTGAAAACGGAGCCAGTGTGTTCAGCAGCACCCTAGTGGAAATGGACGACTGGTGGAAACAGAGCACGCAGCGCAGTGATCAGCATGATCAAAACCTGATACAAACTTGAACAGTGGATTCAGGAGGTTCAACACAGCCCGCATACTCGCAAACATCTCCAGCAATATCACGAGCAAAGGTAACAGCCAGCAATACACAGATGGTCAAGTTCAACACCGGTCCTAATCTTCTTTGTAAATAGGACCAGCCCATTTACAGCCGCTCGCAAGCGACACAGAACAGGTCCCGAGACTGTACTGATCCAGCTCTCTCACCCAGACGTCGGCCTTGGGCCCGTCGTATTCCTTGCCCTCGAAGAGTTCGGGCGCGGCGTACGGCGGGCTGCCACAGCCGGTGGTCAGCGGGTCCGTCGGCGAGTAGAAGTTGCTGAAGCCGAAGTCTGCCGGCCGAACGCGGGGTCAGAGCCTGAGTCGGCCGCCCGCCGCCGCGGCGACACGCGGCCCGGCGGTGTCGGCGGCTGGCGGTCGGCGACGCACCTGGGCCACCTTCGCTTCGGCAGGTCTGTGGCCCTCCTGCCCCGGGCTGTTGCTAGGTCTTTAATTCGGAAAAACGGAGAGGAAGAGAACTGTGACATGATGGGCTTGTATGCTACAAGTACTCGATCTTTAATACCTATACCAGGAGGCACCGCTAACCATCCTAGTGACTGACTGAAATCTTCGTTTTAGCAGTACATCATGTTTCTTTGGAAGTCGACTTTTCAGAAAAAGGGCTCACGATGTAAAAAAAAACTATGAACTTAAAGTCTCTATCGCTGCATAGACATTACAAACAAACCCAGACCACGCCACGAATTTCGCAGAATGGATGCCAGGTGGCGATTTGCAGCACTGTTGCGGAGATGGCTTTGCCGACCAATCCGTCCTGAAATAGGGCTGTTCACGAGCATGAGCTGTTTGTCCGGGTCCCAAGGGTGGATCCCTAATCCCAAACGGCTGCCACCTGGCAGGATCGAGCCGCCGGGCGCTGGGCGCCGCCTCCGCGGCACCAGCCGTCGCCTGAAGCCGCGGAGCGCTCACCGGCTAGCTTGATGTTCTCCTCGACGTCCAGCAGCAGGTTCTCAGCCTTGAGGTCGCGATGCACGACGCTCTTGCGGTGGCAGTACTGCACGGCGGCCAGGATCTGGCGGAACCAGGGCCGCGCGTCCTCCTCCTTCATGCGGCCGTGCGCCACCATGTGATCTGCCGGCGGCGAGGCGCGCGTCAGCGGCCCGCCCGCCGCGCGCACGGCCCGCCCGTCCCATTGTCCGGGCTACGTCGTGACGCGTGGTTCATGCGGTCACAAGCGCCGCCGCAATCTACTACATCCAGAGCCGCGGAACCGGACAGAGCGGCGGCTGCAGCTTTAAGTCCACGGTGCGGCGGGCGTAAGTCCTTTTTTGTCGCTGGTAACATCGGCATTTCAGTGCATTTTTTGTCGTTGGTAGCATCGGGATTCCAGGACCATTTTATAATTTTAACAGGGTCGCTACAGCGTGCCCAATGCGCTCCCCATGAACTGGATACAGCACAGTTCGACGTACTTGGCCCGGCCGGGCCTGCGTCGGAGGCAGGTAGCGAACAAGAGGTAAAACGCTGAGAGGTAGGATGGAAGGATATTGCTAATGTTCTGTGTAGCGGAGCAATGTAATCCAAAGTGATACAAAGGCGTGTGGGCAAGAGATCGGCAACCGTTACGTGAGACGTTTCGCACCATCCAGACATCCGGTTGGTAAAACAAGAACGGCGGTCAATCGACAGGTAACGCAATATTCCATCCAGCAGTGTACATGTGGTCGGTAGCAAGAAATTACTCAGTCCTTCATTTCGACTTATTCGTCGCTGAAAAATCGTCTCCAAAGCTTAGCAACTGTAAAAATAAACACAACACTGGATATAAACTCTGAAGCTCTTTTAAGCTCCGACCTGAACATATATCAGAATGCGTGTTTCGTAAGTTAAGTTTCAGTTTAAGTTTGCAAGGAAAGGTTTCAGAAGTGAGGAGGAGTTCTCCGACGCCGTGTAACCCCTAATGCACACACCCGAGCAGTCAAATGGCGATATGTACCGCGTACAGACGCACGCACACCGCTGATTGGCCACAAGCCGCGTACATGAGCAGATACGCGTTTTCGCCCTTGACAGCAGTGTGAGGAGAAACTACGCTCGCTTTTGACGGATAGGCGCTCAAGACTGACAGTTACGTACATGACGGCTACCGCTCGGTAACAAGACGTTGCCAACACAACTAAGAAAACGTCCCGTTCAATAAGACGCCTTATCGGACGGAATAAGTGAGGAGCTGGCGGACATCAGTGGTGTCATAATGCAGATAAAACCTACCTCCATGGCTTCAACCCGGGCTGGAGCCCATGCAACACATTCTTAGCAATGGTTGTGGTTTACAGCAGGAGTAATATCCTTGAGACTTTGGGCGGTAAACGTGGCAGCGTCGAGGAACACTGACTGAGGAACAATGACACTCACGGGCTTCACGCGGTCGCGAAAATGAACAGCTTCTTCAGCTTTACTCACCGAATATCTCCCCTTTGCTGGCATACTCCATCACCAGGTATATCATCTTTTCCGTCTCCATCACCTGCGTTCAGCAGCGGGTGTCAGCACCGCCAGAAGCAGACCCACACAACACACTCGACTGCGAGCCTCCGAGATTGCGTGTCAGCACCGCCAGAAGCAGACCCACACAACACACTCGACTGCGAGCCTCCGAGATTGCACAGACTGCGCTTTCTCCCAGACGTCACAAGTCACAACCCAACTAAAAGGACCGGCTCTTCCCTGCCTGCCATCCCCGCACACTCCGGCCACAGCCAACCGTGGCCACCGGCGACCGGCCATCGAGACCGGGCGGGGCTGGCCCAGCGCCCACCGTCGGGAGCGGCAGGCAGCCCTACCTGGTACAGCCGGATGATGTGCGGGTGGCGCAGAATCTTCATGATGTGCACCTCGCGCCGGATCTTTTTCAGATTGTCCGTGTCCAGCTTGGTTTTGTTGATGATCTTGATGGCCACCTGCGGTCAGGCCGGCCAGCGTCAGTGGTCCACCGCCTGGGGAGAGCTCGGTCCACACCACGTCACTGAGGACCCCGCCGCAACATCAGCTCGCTCGACTGGCCACCCGCTGCCTGGGTTGCCAAGAAAGGAGCAATCGCCCGAGAGTCGGCGTGAAAGAATCGACCAGGCTTCGTTGATCCGTCAATACTTCGTTAACCGAACCAGAGTATGATAAATGCCCCTACTATCTGCACACCACTGCTAACGAGCACAGTGCGACCCGTAGAAATGAGGACGCAGACCAGCGGCAATGAGAGTCCGAGTCGGAGGTTCGAGACAATCCTGTCGACGTGCCCCATGCTAAAGCATGGGTCCAACAGTTTGGGTGCGTACAGCGCGACGTTGGAGATATGTCCGCGACACCCATCTCTAATCTGACTATCAGTTCTGCGCGTTCTGCGCCAGTCGGGCACCTACGAACAGCTCTGCCCGGCCTATCTGATGCACGCACACCCCACATCGTGGTAACACCACATGGCGCCCGTCGAGCGCTGGGGTGGTGGTGGAGGTTCAGTTGGCCATGTGGGCGCCTCGGGCGACGCAAGACGCGTCTCCACACACCCGCACCGCATCTTCATAAACATAACGGACACACGTCACATGCTGCAAATCTTAGCGTGCGATTCCGCTTGCAGACCGCCTGTACGACACGCCCAGAGCAATCCCATGACAAGCTAGACACTTGACAGCAGCTGACCAGCAAACCAGCTTTGGGAGGCTGGCAAATCGCCCAGGTGTTCAGAGCACCTCACCTTGGCCTGTGTGATGATATGTGTGGCCAGTTTGACCACGGCAAAGTTGCCTTTGCCGATGGTCTGCTCCAGCTCATACTGCCCAATCCTGTACAGCTTCTTGGAGCCTGGCATGCCATTGCCTTCGATGTTCAGCATGGGTTCTTGGCTCATGACCACCGCCAGCACACCACGTCCTAGTGTCCGCGCTCACGGCCGTCCTCCCATGCTCCTGGCTGTGTGCCGGGCTCTACTGTCCGGCCCTGCAGGCCCTAGCCGAGGCGTAACAACCAGCCCAGCTGCCTGGGGACGGACACTGCGTCAGTCGAACCTTCTGGGGTTACCACCCTGTAATGCAGACACAACTTAACTAACGCAATGGCCGTCATGGCAGCAGCAAACAGATGGCAATACATGACATACATATGTGTTTAGGTCAGACATGTGATGAGAAAATAACATGAAAATGTAATATGGAGGCAAAATCATATTTTTCAGGATGTCAAGGAAATACTTCATTCACCCACAAAAAAGATAAACTTAAAGCAGCTCAATCAAAACATTTGTCCAGTCCCACACAATAATGTACTTTCAGTTTTGTCCAGTTTGTCAACCTTAAAGATGCATTTCCTTGATATCCAATTTTTCATGGGCCATTCATCCTTCAATATTCAGGTATTTTGATACATTTCAAGATCTAAAAACTATTGCAACATGAAATACCACAGTACTATTCACCAGAATAGCACAGAACATGGCAGTGCAACATTAGATGAAAAAACAGGGTTGTCCAGGAAGTGAGACCATGATCTGTCTACCCCACAGAATCTCATACAAGATGGCATCAATAGAAGGTGATCTTCAATACATGATGCATTTCTGTGGAATGCCATCCATACCACATGAATGTCATAAAATTCAAAATATTGTATGAATTACATGTCTATCCCCAGATCTCAGTCAGCCGAGCAATGGACCACTAGGGTGGCAGATTATGTGGGCTTGTATACCACTTTCTGTGCATGATCATTTAGGCTCATTTATAAGTTAAACCGGCACTGAATGGGCCAGCCTTGCCTAACCTGACTGTGTCACAATCAAGTGTGGCATATTAGCCATTTTTGGCTACATTCACCTATTACATGAGAGATACTGGGGTGATGGGATCGGGGTTTTCACAACAAGCTATGCTTAGTGAGTGCCCAGATCCCAAAATCACCCATCCAAAACATTTGGTCATTTTTTAAAAGAAGAATCAGTTGCACAGATACCACATGACCATTGCACCTTATACATATATACATACATATATATTTTTTCTCCTTAAAGGAATTGTACCCACAAATACCAAATGTTCAGAAGATAAGAAATATGTTGGTTTGCCCCTTAATCACATTGCAAATTGTGGGCAATTATGTCATTCAAAGTAATGGCCTGTATGTTGCTGTTTTGCCACAGACAGACTGGCAGCTATGCACGACCTAACACAATCAGTCAGCTCTAGGTATGCTGAGTCCCATTGCTAGTAAGTTCACAAATCAAACTTGAATCACAGCCATAACCCATGTAGCTTATTAGTCTTGCTGCTTCATCATTAACAACAAATGTGCAATAGAGCTGGACAAACACCCCTGTTGCTGTTGAATTACAATGAAAAGCACATAAAGCTTCATTACTGAAAAACAAGGTACAGCAAATGCTTATCTAAATCAAAGACCTGCTATTTTTGCCCTTCAGTCAGCATGTTGTCAAACAAAATATACTGTACTGATGACAAGAGACCCTGCCACATATTTACACAGCTTTTTGCATGACACAACAGGCTTCATCATTGATAAAATCACTCAATGCTATGCAAATTGACATACAACAGGTACAGACTGCTGAACTTTGACTGCCTTATATGTTACCTAAAACACTAATGAATTATGTGCAATTTCCTGTTGACCTAGAAAAACAGAAATATTTTTGTGAGATCTATCCTGAATACTGAGCTTCTTGTCACTATGGTGATTAAAATATTGGCTTCCACAACTTAAATTTCTAAACAATTTGTATTCCACAAACCATCCTGATATAATAATACATGCAGGTGCCCATATATGCAATGATGACATTATCAAGTAACTGAATGCACTACTTAACAAGATCTTCCACATTAATATCTTAAACATATACAAGATGTCAAGGATGTACACATAAAGCAACATCGATTGTCAGCCTTACTGTTTTATTTGAGCAGCATGATCAAAATATTGTATTATATAATGGGAACAAATAATCAACTTTGTTAAGCAGTCAAGCATATCTCAAGTTTATTCCATGAGATGAAGAGCATGTCATGTAGATGTAGATGATGTCAACATGTAAGATGACATATACACAATTTCCTGATATGTGCCCTTGAGGTTACACAATGCCTAAAAACTAAGTGGAAAGACATAATCTGTAATCCTATTTTCTATGCAACACTACATAGCCAAAAGTAAAAATTCAGAACCAAGTGGGTCACAGCCTCTTGCTCCTTATATCTTTGTAAATGCATATGTCAGTGTTACCACCAATATCACTTCCAAAGCCATGCCTCCTTGGACAACCTGTGCGTTTTATATATCCCTGTAAGTGCTTATGCTCATGTCCTGTTATTGTCGCTTCTACTTCAGTGCCTTCCTCTCATTGTTTCAATATTTGTATGCTGAGGTAGCTGGGATGTCAATACTGTTTCATGTCATTGCATCCCTAGCATGGAGTTCCCTACCTGATTAAAATTCCCCTCCCCCATCACTCAAAATTGGTCAATCCCTATCAAACTGGCAGCAGTCAACCCAGCATACAAGTGGCTCAGGCTTCACATATAGGTACAGGTGGCTTAGATGACAGATGTGCTTAAAGACCTTAAAAGCAATGCAAGCATATATAACAACTGGCTGAACAGGTCAGCCATCTGGGTTTGGCATCAACAGGCAACAAATTGCTTCAAACTACTTGCATGCAGAGGTCACCAGAAAACTGGGACATTGGTGGCATAGCCTTATATTGACATCCTGACAACCCTACTGATTAAATGCTGGGCAGACGCTTTGCCTTGCTTGGCTCTTTGACGCTTGGCTCCACCACCAGGGTTATCACCTTTAATGATACAATATTATGCTACAGCATAGTTTCTAGTATATGCTCTTACCATAGTCTTTAAATATGCTGTCAGATTCACAGATTCATGGATAATGTGCTCTATGAGAGGGTGACCAAATATGATGGAATACTTAGATAAACAATAATATACCCAAACACACTGAGACTTGCATGTGACAGTGACCATCACCTTGGTGGCACTCTTACCATTGTGTTCTTTTTTAGTACTTGCTTCACACCATATACTTAAATTTGGTACTACTGAGATAAAATTCATGAACTTTATTGGCCCTAACCAGCAATCACACATTGCAATTGAGCAGCGGATTGCTCCACATTGCTGGACGGGCAGGTGCATCAGCATGCATGGGAACTTTATCAATTTCTATGGCTTCTTTTACAACCCTGCAACCTGATGTCCTTTACAACAATAGCGAAACGCATACCTCCTTAGCATCGGATTTCAAGGACCACCGCAAATTCGTCACAGAAGCGCACATGAATCGTGCACGCCTAGTCCAAACTCATCGGGCGAGGCGCGAGACCCATGTCCGACAAATTATTCATCATAGGTAAGATGCGATACATCGAAGTGACTCAGCTGTTAACCGTAACGAAACACCATTTGTTCAGTTCATGAACCGTTACCTTTTCCAGACCTCGTACCGACTGGGGCAATCGGGGAATGCTATCTCTTCCAAACCCTTTATCTTGGCCACATCTTGCACACGACAAACATGACGCAGGTGACACAAATCTTGGTAGCGTAAGCTGCCACCAATGCTATGCACCAATATGCCTGGATAAGTAATAAATTGGCTAATATGTCAATTTGAAATTTTTGGTTAAAACTATGAGACCATGACGGCTTAAAATTCTATCAAAATGGATAATATCATGATCAAATAAAAATGGCAGATTAATGCAGTTGTTATATAGTTCCTGGTTATTGCAATGTCCGCTGATTTATATTGTCACTATTTTGAGGTATTTGGCCTAGATAGATTGCTGGTGTTAAGTGCGGTGAATGATCCAGTTTTGGGCACCTGTCAGAACTAAAACAAATGAACGAAGAGTAATTTTAGGCAACAACTGACGTAACTGAGAATGTTTGTTATTGGAGCAGATTTGCATAATAATAAACTGTAACAGCTAAGTTGATAGGCGAAGGACAGCGTTGGAGGCGTACGCATGAAGCAGAATGGAAACAGATGAAAACAGCTCTCACGCGTTGTCTCAGAACATTTGCGCGAGGGTGTTGTGGGGTTGTTGTGTGCCAGCATAAGCACGTGCCACATTCAGCATTTTCAGTGGCTGAACTCCTTACGCGCCATTTAAGTGGGAGGCATAATACTAATATTTTAAGTGCTGCTTCATCTAAGCATCCAACCCGCTCTGAAGTGTAATGTTTGTCTCGTTGCCTGGCGTTGAGCGCAATGGTACAAGCGTTGTTGCTGCAGGCCACCACTTCAGAAAACTTGCACCTGTAACATTTTCGCGAAGTCCTTTGACCTATTGTGCCATAAAGCCTGTGCATTCAAAGCAATGTAACCAGCTTTATCACCGGGCGCGTAAAAATAAAGCTTTTCATAGAACGCATCAGTGGAACTCAAGACACCACACAAAACTGTCCGTCTCCACCGCCGACATCGATGCGTTCTTTCGTCTCCTAGGTGTGTGAAGTGGTCGCTGTCACGATTCATACCGCCCGTCGTAATTACCCCTCGTAGATGCGTGGCGCACTCTTGGGTCATAGGTAGCCGGTGCGGCCCGGTCTCCCGTCGTGAAAACTCCATTGGGCTTACGTGGTGGTCCATGGAAGCGATCGACTTTAAATGCAGTGCGTTCTCCCCCTCCTCCGCTTCTAGTGTTCCTAGTTTCGCTCGTAGCCTGACTTTTCCCTAATCGGCGAGAATGCGGAATATCTGATAGATTTAACCCACTTCCCGGACATAACGCCATGTCACGTTTATTCCCATTCCATGACCACGGTTGGAAATCTTTGCACACCAAACTAGCTTTTTGAATTCGCATAATGCGACATTTGGTGCGCTCCAATCTCATCGCAAGCCCGTTACGTTCCTCTTTCCACGAATATTTGTCCGACTGGAATAATGTGCTTGCACATAGGTGGATCTGTACCTGGTTGCGCATTACGCACCACTTACCTTCCAAATGCTCGCAGATGACAGCGTGATCCAGGCCTTTCTGGATCGGGACCAGTGCAGAAAGTACGCCGACAAGTACCTGCTGGCAATGGTTTTCACTTACTTCATCCGGGCAAATTACAGCTGGAAACAGTACAACCGATACAACTTCTTCGTGGGACTGTAAGTGGCGACGCGGAAAATGAAGCTTTCGTCACTCTCTAGACGGAGCGGAGCATTGCTGTCTTTAATCAGAGGCAGCATGCGTCTTTGGCGCACTCCGTATCGTGTGCAATGTATGAGTAGTAGGAAAATGGGCGGAGGATGTGCACATAGGGTGTGTACAGGAGCATGCTGGGAGATGTACACAAGTCATTATCTTCTGTCGAGCGCATCGGGTTTTTGCATGAAAACAGACAGGGAACAGAAATTTTGCATGAAAACAGAAAACAGACTCCGTGCACCAATTTGAGATGTCGTGGACTTATTTGAATACGATGTCATTCAAAATTGTTTTGGTCGTGTGCTACGTGCCTCGTTTCCTTTGCTGCCACGAAACAATAATTTGGTTCTCATCCGTCTCACGTTTTGAGACCAACGAGTCAGATCCGTCACACGTTTTGAGGTCAACCATCTTGATGCAAGTAAGAAAGGCTCTGAGCTGCCGCTTTTTCATAGCACCATGAATTCGGGATCCGGCTCTGATAAAAATTGGCCTGTGCTCGGTGGTAACGCCGTTTTTACCATTATCGGCTGACGTATTGAAGATCGGCTGTTGTCTGAAGAATTCCCAACTTGTAATGCAGATGTACGACGGCAAATCGGTTGAACGCGACGGGATAATGGTTAATTATCAGGTGAGCATTCGTACGCACGACGTCGCTGGTAGTGACTGAAATGCGGCGTCTTGAAGCATGTTTGAGTTGTCATTATGGCTGGCCTTCTGCAATACATCCCTCCCCTCTTCCCGTAAAACTCGTCACCTTCTTAGGTACACCATTTTACCGCCCGTGTGCGTTCGGAGTCAATCTTGTCGGGTTGTCGCAGGTACTCCACTCAGCACACGTATGTAAACGTGCGACGTGAGAGTATACATAGGGTACCGTCAGTGTAGCGGCAAAGCTGCGCGCCTCGGAAACTAGAGGTACGGGGTTCGATTCCCCACAGTGCTTGACCACTCCTGCCGGGATCATTGGGGACTTGCGACGCACTCAGCTGCTGAGACTTTGTGGCGTCGCCTTCCTCTCACCCTGGTGGGAAGAGCGGGAACCGCGGTGAATCGAAGCCCGCGCCTCCAGTTTCGCAGACGCGCAGCGGGCTGGCACGGGCATCCGGCGCGCAGCACGCCCGTGCGGTATACAGCGTGCGCCTGTGACGTGTGCCCGCCGTGTTGTGGCGCAGATACCTAGCGCACGACATGGAGGAGGACGAGGAGGAGTTCAAGTTCGAGATTCTTCCCTGGCTGTACGGTGACGGCTGGCGGCGGCGCTACCCGGTGCTGCTGCGCCACCGTGACCTGCTCTGGGGGCAGATCGGCTATCGGGCGGTGGTCAGCCGCAAGTGCTGCGACGAGGTCAGCCATCACCACGTGCGGCGCTGCCTTACCCTGCCCAGTACAACAAAATCCGCCCTGTTTGCCATCTGCCTTTGCTTTATTTTTGAACTGCGTAAGCACTCTCCGACCGGGATAACATAGCCTAGTTTTTTTTTTGTCCGGACTAGCATGGGCTGATTTGTTCCGGGTTGGAAAAACACGCGTTGTCTGGTGTTTGTCTTTGCAATACCAAGGTGGTGAGCATATTAAAGCACACATATTATATATCATAGCACATTGTATAGGAGCACATCATATTATATATTGACTGTATTATACGCGAGGTACGTTCTGTGCATTCGTGTTCTCCCCTACCGAGGACAGCTTCTGTTCGGGCACCGATGCGTTTGGTGCGTCCTCCAGCGAGCCGTCATGTGTGGTGCCGGCGGCTCGTAGCTCCGCTGTAGTAGCAGCCCTCCAGCGAGCCGTCATGTATGGCGATGAGAAGCCGGCGGCTCGCAGCCCCGCTGGGGTAGCAGTCCTCCAGCGAGCCGTCATGTATGGAGATGAGAAGCCGGTGGTTCGCAGCGCCGCTAGGGTAGCAATCCTCCAGTGAGCCGTCATGTATGTAGATGAGAAGCCGGTGGTTCGCAGCGCCGCTAGGGTAGCAATCCTCCAGCGAGCCGTCATGTATGGAGATGAGAAGCTGGCGGTTCGCAGCGCCCCTGGGGTAGCAGTCCTCTAGCGAGCCGTCATGTGTGGTGCCGGTGGCTTGCAGCGCCGCTAGGGTAGCAATCCTCGAGTGAGCCGTCATGTATGGAGATGAGAAGCTGGTGGTTCGCAGCGCCGCTAGGGTAGCAATCGTCCAGCGAGCCGACATGCATGGTAACGAGAAGCCGGCGTGTCGCAGCGCCGCTGGGGTAGCAGTCCTCCAGCGAGCCGTCATGTACGGAGATGAGAAGCCGGCGGCTCGCAGCGCCGCCGCAGTTGTAGCCGGAGGGCTAATCACCGCTCAGAGACCCCAGCGCCTCACCGCCCTGCTGCAGCAGGTGTCAGCCGCTCGGCAAGAACGAACGCCGGCCGGGCACAGCGACCCGCCACCGTCGTGAGCCCGGTCTGCTCGTGAGCGCTCCGGTCACGTCTCACAGCGACCGGGCCACCGTCGTGAGCCCGGTCTGCTCGTGAGCGCTCCGGTCACGTCTCACAGCGACCGGGCCACCGTCGTGAGCCCGGTCTGCTCGTGAGCGCTCCGGTCACGTCTCACAGCGACTGGGCCACCGTCGTGAGCCCGGTCTGCTGTGAACGCTCCGGTCACGTCTCACAGCGACTCGCCACCGTCGTGAGCCTGGCCTGCTCGTGAGCGCTCCGGTCACGTCTCACAGCGACCCGCCACCGTCGTGAGCCCGGTCTGCTGTGAGCGCTCCGGTCACGTCTCACAGCGACTCGCCACCGTCGTGAGCCTGGCCTGCTCGTGAACGCTCTGGTCACGTCTCCCAGGGACCCGCCACCGTCGTGAGCCCGGTCTGCTGTGAACGCTCCGGTCACGTCTCACAGCGACTCGCCACCGTCGTGAGCCTGGCCTGCTCGTGAACGCTCTGGTCACGTCTCCCAGGGACCCGCCACCGTCGTGAGCCCGGTCTGCTGTGAACGCTCCGGTCACGTCTCACAGCGACTCGCCACCGTCGTGAGCCTGGCCTGCTCGTGAACGCTCCGGTCACGTCTCCCAGGGACCCGCCACCGTCGTGAGCCCGGTCTGCTGTGAACGCTCCGGTCACGTCTCACAGCGACCCGCCACCGTCGTGAGCCTGGCCTGCTCGTGAACGCTCCGGTCACGTCTCCCAGCGACCCGCCACCGTCGTGAGCCCGGTCTGCTGTGAACGCTCCGGTCACGTCTCCCAGCGACCCGCCACCGTCGTGAGCCTGGCCTGCTCGTGAACGCTCCGGTCACGTCTCCCAGGGACCCGCCACCGTCGTGAGCCCGGTCTGCTGTGAACGCTCCGGTCACGTCTCACAGCGACCCGCCACCGTCGTGAGCCTGGCCTGCTCGTGAACGCTCCGGTCACGTCTCCCAGCGACCCGCCACCGTCGTGAGCCCGGTCTGCTGTGAACGCTCCGGTCACGTCTCACAGCGACCCGCCACCGTCGTGAGCCTGGCCTGCTCGTGAACGCTCCGGTCACGTCTCCCAGCGACCCGCCACCGTCGTGAGCCTGGCCTGCTGTGAACGCTCCGGTCACGTCTCCCAGCGACCCGCCACCGTCGTGAGCCCGGTCTGCTGTGAACGCTCCGGTCACGTCTCCCAGCGACCCGCCACCGTCGTGAGCCTGGTCTGCTGTGAACGCTCCGGTCACGTCTCCCAGCGACCCGCCACCGTCGTGAGCCTGGCCTGCTCGTGAACGCTCCGGTCACGTCTCCCAGGGACCCGCCACCGTCGTGAGCCCGGTCTGCTGTGAACGCTCCGGTCACGTCTCACAGCGACCCGCCACCGTCGTGAGCCTGGCCTGCTGTGAACGCTCCGGTCACGTCTCACAGCGACTCGCCACCGTCGTGAGCCCGGTCTGCTGTGAACGCTCCGGTCACGTCTCCCAGCGACCCGCCACCGTCGTGAGCCTGGTCTGCTGTGAACGCTCAGGTCACGTCTCCCAGCGACCCGCCACCGTCGTGAGCCCGGTCTGCTGTGAACGCTCCGGTCACGTCGTCTTCGAGACCCCGGACCAGCGTCGCCCCAGCGCCGTACCTGATGTCGCCTGCGACGCTGAAGTAGTTCGGTGCATTGCGTCTGAAGTTTGCAGGCCCCAGCCCGTGATAAGGACAACACGGCATCGCCTACACCGCCATGATGAATTGTGAATTGCCATTGTGGTCAACGGAGTGCGGTGTTACATAGTGGGGACTTCGTATCAAGAATCCAGGAGTCCAGCGACTCGTTCGATTTTTGTTTTGTGCGTGCGCGACAGCAAAGATCGTCGGCTATTACGGCGTTCGCCAGTCAGTGTTTGTTCGCCAGTCAGTTCGCCAGTGTTTGGGCGCCGGGCACCCTGACGGTGCCTCGATGGGCACAAGGAATGAAGTGGCCGAAACGTTTGCTGCACCAGCCGAAACCCGGTACACAGCCGATGTCATAGTAACATTTGATGCGCGTGTGAAAATACAAAACAGCATTCAGAGACGCGGAACAGAATCAAATTTCCCATTCAAAGACAAAAAGGCGTAAGAGCCATTAGCTAGCATAGCACTTAGGCCTTTTTGCATTCGGACGGCAGAAACGGTAGCGGCACGAACATCACTATGCAGCCGTGACGCGAGTGGCATCGTTTCTGAGGTCCTCCAATTTGTACCGGTGGGACAGCGCGCGAACGGAAGTTTGTGTGTGCACTGTTTCCGTGGCCAACACGCTCACACCAGTCGGGGTCTTGCCGCACTCGCCGCGCGCCATTCGCTTGGGGTCAGCGGCCAATGCGCCGCAGCGTGTTCAGCTCGCCTGCCAGCCGGCTGCTTCCGAGCAGCCTGGTGCGGGGCGGGGCGGCTACGCGCGGAACCGGTGCGCAGTTAGCCTCAGTCGCTGTGCTCCTCTTGTCAGTCCGTTTGGGGACGTATGAGACGTCTTAGCTGAATCTTCGCTCTCTCTCTGGCACACAGTGAGCCGTTCCCGGCGCTGGTCAGGAAGGTAGTGCTGACGCCTTCTTCGTCGGGTCAGCCAGGCGACAGCGCGTTCTACGGCAGACTTGCATAGGCCTGTGGACTCGACGCGTCGCTCCTCCGCGCGGGCGATGTGGGGGCATCCGCGGTGCTCGCTCACCACCGATGAGCCGCCGTGGAGCGGCGGCGTGCGGACGGCCCGCGATGGGTGCTCGGCGCAGATAGCGGCGGTGCTGCGGCTCTGCACGGCGTGACTGGACGGCCGTCCTCGCACGCCTGTCGGGGCTCGCGTCGCTGTGCAGGACACAGCAGCGCTCCGTTGGGATCGTGTCCCCCTGGTGGCGGTGGCGCGCGGTCGACGGTCATATCTGGTGAAAACGTCGATGTGGAGGACGGACGACGGGAAAAGGTGCCGGCGCTTCCGCAGATCCCACAGGTCCAGCATCGCCCCGTGTTGTCAGCTCCGCCTCGCCGCCGGCCGGCCCTGCCTCCGCCGCTGTCCTGACACCGTGGCAGTCGTCCCTTGGTGGCGCAGACCGGGCATACGATTTGTCCAACCGATGGTGCGATGGGGAGGCACCACATCCGCGTAAATCATCGTGTGGTTTGACCGCGTTCCTAGTTTATCGTTTCAGGTACAATGTGGGATCTACTTTCGTTGATGCCATCTGTTTTGAACTGTGCACATACTTGTGTTGCGTTGTATTTGTCCCATAGGTGACGTTTTGGTTTACTGCGATGTGATCTGTTGAGCGAGACGTTCGCCACTGTCCGATAGTGTCGTTTTGGCTTGGGTGGGGGTGTTGTGCGTGTTTTGCCCCTTCCTTACTGAAGAGCATGTATCGTCAACGAAACATGCTCTTCAGACGAAGAGCATGTCATAGAGACATGCTTTTCCTCCATGTCTCGTCATTGAGACATGCTTTTAAATACTTTCGTTCCATTCCATCGGTTGTGAATGGTCCATATACGTGTACTGCGCTGTATCTATTTCCAGCCGTTTCCACGTGTGCGGAGAAACGATAGGTCAGTCAACTAAAACTTCTCGAACACGTCCTTCTTCGCAATTTTTATAGAAAAAGGCTTTACAGGCACTATCGGCGGCGACAAGGAGCTCGATAGGTACCCGAGCTCGTTAAATCAACTAATTTTGCCGTGCAGCGCCGGCACCGAATTGGAAAACTTGTCTATCTTGCATGAACGACACCTGTATGTCCTCGCGACCTGACACAGGAGGGGATAATGTTGGGTCTTAGGGTGTGGCGACGAGAGACTGCTCATAGACGTATGCTATTTCGCATGACTTGTCTGCCACTGACCGGTCCTGTCTTGTCCGCCACTGACCCCTGACCCACTGGCCCTTCCTCTCTTGCGTTTCACTTATCCACTGACCCGTGGTCACTTGCCTGCCTTTGACCCGTCCTCTCTTGTCTGTCACTGACCCACCCCTCTTGTCTGCCACTGAATCGTACCCTGGTAACCATATCCTTTCAGAACCGGTCTGCCGTGCTGTGCCCTCTCGCGTCTCGCTCAGTCTTGTTCGCTGTCATACGCCGCGTCCATACGCCCATGCTGGCTCGTTCGCATGCTGTTCTGAGCAGTCCAATGCCGGTGCAGGTGATGTCGATCCGGCCGCACCACCCGGTCTGGCTGCGCGTGCGACCGGAACACCACAGCGGCGCGCTGAGGGACTACACCACCGCCTACACCCGTCTCGGTAGGGCGCGGCCGTGCCGGCTCCATCTCGGGGCCAAGACAGCTGCATGTCTTAGGCGCTGCATGCGCGTGTGGTGTGCTCGAAAGGCGATCACTTTTACCGCGTAATGCAAACCTTTTCGTCAACGTTGTACAGTTGTTCGCATTCAAGGAGCTCCCATAAGGCTCGCATTCTCCCGTTTTTCACAATAGATGGCTTCGGACAGAAGGTTTACCTCGCATGATACATACTCTGAACTCAGCCCCCAAAGACCCCGCCTGCGTCCCTGTTCGCAGTTGCGCGTTTGTGCATGTGTGTTCCTCACCATTTTTTTTTGTTATGCATATAGTTGTGAAATTATCGATGCGACGCGACTGGGACATGCCGGCGTTCTTGACGAATCAGCTGTTTACCGCGCAGTCAATGCTGTAGCTTGAGCTTGCGCTTTTGCACACAGGCTGTGTGTGAGAACAGTTGGCGCATGCTTCCTGGCCATACTGACTTCTGGTCAGTTTCAATTCGTCCGTAGCGCGTCATTGGCTGACTCCAGGGCTGCTAAAAAGTCACCGACCCCGGCCTTAATAGATCAGGGCTGGATCCACCCGCAATGCATGCGCCGGCATCGATAGGGCGTCAGTGATACATTGCCTACCGTCCATTAGGGCACCTCAAAGCTTAGCACCTTTCATCGCGCCGTGAATGACTTGGTCTGCGCGCGCCGTACGAACGCCGGCGCGTCAGCACCGCCTGGGCCCGTGTCGGCACGCGCCGCCCGCCGGCCACTAACAGCGCGTGACGTGGTCGTGTGCGCGCGGCAGGGCCGTACGGACCGCACCGGGCGCCCCCCATCTGTCGCCTCTGCGCCGGCGCCGACGAGCTGGCCAGCGATGACTCCGGCGTGGCCTACCCGCCCGACTCGCCGGCAGGTTCGCACCGGCCGGGGCCGGACGCTGCCCGCACTGTCTCGCTGTGGTTCACGGCAGGGCTCCAAAACACGCCACAGCGGGGGCCGGGGGTGTTTCATCAAATGGCATGAGCCTTTACTCGGGAGGGAGACGGAGGCAAGCGGGTAAAAAGTAGTTAATTTGCCCTAGTTTAGCTTCGGGCAATGTGCCGTTCCGGGGTTTTGTCCCGGCCCTCTCTTGGCGTGTGACCGTCGTAACACTCAGTGGCATGTCTCTTACCGGCAGACCGCTGCCCTCCATTTCGTTGCGTTTTCGAGTTGCTTACTTCACATTCGCCATCTGACGCCCTCGCCGCTGTTTGAAGCCTCGCTGACCGGCGCCGGTTGGCCGCAGGCGAGAGCGGTGCCGACGAGGACGCCGCTTCGCCCGGGATGGAGCTCTCCGACTCGCTGCTGACGCCTGCCTCTGGAGAGGCGTTCTGCAAGTAGCCGCGGCTCGCTGCTGACGCCTGCCTCCGGCGAGGTGTTCTGCAAGCAGCCGCGGCTCGCTGCTGACGCCTGCCTCCGGCGAGGTGTTCTGCCGGTAGTCGCGACTCGCTGCTGACGCCTGCCTCAGGCGAGGCGTTCTGCAAGTAGCCGCGGCTCGCTGCTGACGCCTGCCTCCGGCGAGGTGTTCTGCCGGTAGTCGCGACTCGCTGCTGACGCCTGCCTCCGGCGAGGCGCTCTGCAAGTAGCCGCGGCTCGCTGCTGACGCCTGCCTCCGGCGAGGTGTTCTGCAAGTAGCCGCGGCTCGCTGCTGACGCCTGCCTCTGGCGAGGTGCTCTGCAAGCAGTCGCGGCTCGCTGTTGACGCCTGCCTCTGGCGAGGTGTTCTGCCAGTAGCCGCAGCCTGCTGGCAATGCCGCGCGGCCCTGCCCGGCACTCGGACCGGCCAGATCGCTGCCCGGCTCCGGGCGGGACGTGACGGGACGAGTGCATGTCGCCCCCTCCCCCCTCTCCCACCACCACCGAGAGGGGGCGTCCGCATCGGCCCGGTGCCGCCGGTCAGTTCTCATCACCGGCGTCCTCAGTCTTCGTTTGTTCATTGTTCATCTGTGTGTAGCCTGTTGCAGTCGCTCACTGTTGTCGTCTGAGATGTTAATGTATTTATGCTGACTGGCCGACTGGCTTCTCCCTCTGTAATGTGCGTTTTGTCCGTGGTTCTGTCTGCTTTGGTGGTCTGCGGTATGGGAGATGCGTGCTGTCGCCATTTACAAGACGCTTTGGCCTTTGGGCCCGTAATAAATCGAGCTCTTGCACGCTCTTGACTGTGGGTGACATCTATTTTCATTTTTCATTGTCAGTCACGGAAGTGGCTAGTACGCCTGTCTTGTATGACAGCAGGCGGCATCATCAAATGCAAGTCTAGACGCTTTTTTCCCACAACCTATATACGGCATGAACGCCACTGATTCAGCAGTCTCGCAGATGCATTTAAGCTTAGCGACATTGTGTCTTCTATGACAGACACAATGCCGCTATGGTGGGTTGTGAACCTTGTGTTGTTTTGTTTAACAACCAGCTTTCTTTGTTATACGGTTTGGTGAAATCATCGGAGACAAAAAAAAATTGCCTCGGAATGTTCGTAGCCATTTGTTTTTCTTCGCGCGGCATCGTCAGATTAGATAGATCATAGATCCATTCGTCTACAAAATGCGAAGAAGCAACACAAAAACCAAAATTTTACTGCGACGAATTTCCAATCGGTTAGTGCAAAACACAATCCACTGCTATCAATTAGGCCCATCATCCCGGTATTGTAATGGCTTCGCCTTGCTCGGGCCCGTCATTTGAGTAACACCAAAAGATCGCAACCGTGCCGTGCAATGCCACGCCTCTCAACCGCCCAGTGCAGCCTGACACTGGCAGACCGAAGGCCGAATAGCCTTCGAGGAGCCACGCACGAACACTGGAAGGTGGGACAACCGCACGTCAAGCGACGTCGTGCGTGTGGTCAGCACCACTTCAGCGCTCCACTGAAGTTGCGTTTCGGCAGCACTGATTGACGCGTTTGCGCCGCGAGATTGTATTTTTTGCAAATATTGCGCGTTGCAGTGAACTGTAAGATAAAAAGGCAATCCCGCTTGAAGCGTGATGGCCAGAATATAGTGCTGCGAGAAAAAAACATAAAATATTTTAGATATACCTTTAGCCATGCGCGGTGGGTGTGACCGCATACGATGTCATTGTAGAAGCACTATTGGCCTGAAATGTAAATCGCTCATCGGGCCACCGTGACCTTTTTGTTGAAACCACCCACTGACGGCGTGCTTCTAACTGCGACCAGCCGGCCCGTAGCGTGGTGCCATAAGGCGTCATAAGGCACCATTTCCGGGTTGCCATAAGGCGCCCCGGAAAAAATGCATATGATCGCATACGAAGTGCGCGACTCCGCACCTTTCATAACACATATGTAGGGCTATCTACGGCATCCAATTTAAGCTATTTAATCGTGTGCAGTGAGCGCTACCATGTGGCCAAGATGTCATGGCAGGAGCATTATCGACCAGAAATGTGAAGCACTCATCGGCAGACGTGACTTTTTTGTCCAAGTTACCCCATTTACGGAGCAATTCTAGATGCGTTGGCTTGGCGCGCAGCGTGATGACCAGCTACGGCTACCTTATGTATCGTGCGAAAAGTAATATCGCACTCATTATATCCAAGACTAATATCGAACTTGTGATATCGTGTGAAGAGTGCGAAAATGTTCCTTCGATAGCGTTGATACGGGACCATGAGCTGCAAGTACAACACACTTGTCCGACTACGGTATCTATTTCATTTGGCCGAGTTCACGCCAGAGTATCGCGCAATGGTCGCCGACCGGCAGAAGAAGCGGTTCCAAAAATCAGGGCGTCAAAAATTAACTAACCCAATTTCCGCACGATGGCTTTCACCATGTGCACACGACGTCATTGTGTGAGATCAAATGGCCGGCAGTATAAATCACCCATTGGTCAAAAATGCCCTTGATCAAATCACCGTTTGACAACACATTGTCATGTGCAGCTGGCCATCTCGCAGAGTGATAACATGAAAAGGGTGGCATGGAAAACTTGCTTATTATCGCATGTGTAAATGCGACTCTGTACATCCGATAACGCTGCTTTAGGTCCACCAGCTTGCAGTACAAAACACTTGTCCGATTAGTACATCCGAAGTATCCGGTCCACCACCGAAAACCACTCACTCAACACCGCGCCAGCGATTTGCAAAGACACAGATTCCGATATAAGATAGATTTAGCACTTCACGGTGGGTGCGACCGTGTACATACGACGTCATTCTGGGAGTACGTTCGGCCGGTGGTGCCAATTGCTCAACGACTGAGATTATTTGTTTATGCTGGAGTTACCCCTTGACGGCGTAATGCGCGTTGCATTGCGGCTTGGCGGCCCATAGCATTACGGCCAGCAGGTGGCGTCACAGGAAACAAGTACTTCTGTTGGCGCACGAACAGCTCGACTGTGCACTTTCAACAGCATTGATATAAGACTGTCTGGTTCCAGCACAGCACACTTGTCCTATTGCGGCATCCGTTTTGTCCGTTCGACCACGGACAGTGTTTCGCTCAATGACGCAGCCGCAATCAGTGAAGATACAGCGTCAAACTGAAAGCACTGAGTCGTGCCCGGCGCCTGCCATTTTGTGTAGAACATGCCATTGTAGGTGCGCTGTCGGACTGAGTCGAGGGAGCACTGTCGCTTTGATTTGTGTCGGATTGAGTTGTGTGAGAGATGTCGTTTTGAGTCGTGCCCGGCGTGTGCAGCCATTTGTACCGGATGCCACTGCGGGAGCACTCTCAGATGGCAATGTACATTGCTCAGCAGCCGGCTGGCCTTTTTTGTTGGAACCACCCACTTCATGGCGCATTGTTAACTGCGGCCGGTAGACCCGTATCGTGATGACCGGCATACAAAAGCCGGAAACAAAGCTTATTATCGTGTCAAAAGGGTAAGGCTGCGTGCATTCGATAGCACGTTTATAGTGTCATTCCCTTCACACACAGCACACCTGTCCGAATGTGCCATCCATTAGATTCCCTCAACGCATGCCAGCGTTTCAGTGAGTGTTATAATGGCAATTTGCGAAGATGCAGGGTCCAAATTGAAATACCTTTAGTTGCACGCGGCGGCTGCGAACATTTGCATAGGATGTCACAGTTAAAAGCTGTCGGCCGGCAATGCAAATCGTTCAAATTAAAGCACGACCATGCTTACCTAAATCACACATTGATATCGCATTTCTGTCTGGGGACGGCTGATACATACCGTTGAAGAGAATGCTACACACTTGAAGATAGCAAAACAAGCATCAGATATGATGAAACAAGCTCACTTGTATCCATTGATATACTTTGAAATGTGAAGGCTGCTCTAGACAGCACAATTTCTTTGGTAACTAAATATGCCCTCAATGCGCCATTGTTTGATTATGCCATCGTACCTTGCACTACATTGATTGAGAGTCAGTTGGCCGTCATTATATCTGAAAATAGTGCTCACGAACGCCAGATATGAACAACTCGACAATTCTTTCCTAGACTTGATTGTTGCATGGCTAATGAAATGACAGAATTTTAATGGCATTATGGCGTCATGGATGCCTGGGTGACCTTGAAATAGTCTTCCCAAAAGACTCCTCATCTTCCCGGGCTTATAGCTCAGTAACTAGAGCGGCTTTGTTCTAAAGAGAAGGACTGCGAACTGCATCGAATGCTCTTCAAGATAGCTATTTCAGTTTAACACCCCATAGGAATGGGAAATGGGATTCCTGGCCTTTAGGGCCAGGTTACGGTGGCTCGGAGAAAATGCTTATAATTGTTTGTGCAGAGTTAGACTGTGGCCATTCGAAAGCGCTGGTATCGGGCTTTCGATACCAGTAGAACCTGCCTATCCGATCACAGCGTTGTTTTTATTCGGTCAACACCAGGAAGCGTCTCACTCAATGCTGCAGCGGCGATTTGTAAAGCTACTGCATCCAATTGAAAATGTGTTGCGTCGTGCGCTCGACGGGTGCAACTATATACACACTATTTAATTATGGGAGCACTATCAGTCGACAATGCAAATTGCTCATCGGCAGACATAACCTTTTCTGATCAAATCACTCATTTAGGTGCCGTTGCTAAATGCAGCTGGTTTGCCCATGACCAGAATACGGCGGCCCGCGGTAAATACTTGAAGCCTCGCGTGGAATGTCCGACTTGGGGTACTTGAAAGCGGTGTATACGGTGTGGCCAGGTACCAGTACAACACATTTGTCGGATAAGGGAATTCTTTTAAATCGATCATCCCACGGGACGTGTCTCACGAAATGCTGGCAGGGCGACCACAGCGGAAATATTGAGTCATGGCACACAATTTCAAATAGTGTTACTCGTGCGTGGCGTGTTTGACCATGTGCGCACCACTTCCCTGAGGAGGTTTTTTTCGACCGGGAATTTGA